ATCAATAAACACTATTCCTTCTCCTCTAGAATAAGTTTCAAAATAGATCACAGGGCTAAGGAAAGCCAGGGCTTCATTTCCTAAGAGAATGTAATGGATAGGACCACACCAGTGCAGGCATATTCTTCAGTGACGCATCTGTTCCAAATGCTGAAGAACTCAGGTATGACTGCTCACGGAAACCGGATGGATTCACTGCTTCCTTTACTTATGAGCAATTTTTTTGCCATTATGCTATTAAGCTCCATCAAGCGCTGAGTGTTCAAAGATCTGGATGCAAACATGATCATGAAGAATCATAGGAAAAGAATGAAATTCTAAAGCTTGTTACTGTCAAGTAAATATTTCAGAGTCCCCACGGAGCATACTTAACAACTATATTGTTAGTAACGGAAATATTTTTCCTAACTTGGCTCAAGTCATTAACCATGACTTTCAGGAGAGTACAAGCTGACAGAAACAATCATACGGCTGGGTCCTTTCCCTTATGATCAGTCATCAATGCTCCTTAACCTGGAAACAGCCACATCATAGCTGCCAATAGCCTGAGAATCAAACCACCTGGATGACAACCAGGTGAAAGAGCTCAGGGCTCCTGCCCTGCTCACATGCTGAAAATTCTTTCTCCTGACATGCTGAAATCATGGATTTCTAGACTCTCTCTTTATTCTTGCTTCTCCCCATAGCGTATATTTTTCTTTTTGTTGACAACAATCTAATTTGCCTGGAAACTGCTTCAAGTGCCTATGTTCCACTTGGGATCACTGTAATACTTTTGCAGATGGTTTGGAGCATTTTTTTTCTCAAAACAAGCGCCATGAACTCTAAAGCATTTTGCCATATTTCTGCACTGCTATATAAAATACACTTGAGATGACTGGAGTCATTTTTTCACTAGATAGCAGTCATTAATTAACCTGGGAAAGAATCCCAATTCCATTTTTCCATGGCATAGTGATTACTCCAATTATCCAAGATATCGTCTTAGTTTGGGTTCCCCCAAAAGTCACCTTGAGATAAGAACTTGGGTTAGTCTGGGACAGTGAATTGGGGAGGTGATCCCCGAGAGCTTAAGTTCGGAAGTGAAGAAAGCACGACAGAGGAGAGAGAAAAACCATGAAAGGGGGTGGCATGGAGCATTCCCACTGGGGCTCAATGTCCCCAGGATGTTCTGAAAAAACATAAGTAATGTGCTTCAGAAATGTCCCACAAGGAGAAGGGGAAACTGGGCTTTTTTTTTCTGACTCCAGCCCTTCACTGGGTAAAGGTTGTACTTCTAAGGCTGCTCTGCAGCAAGAGTAAGTTTCCACAGGGCTGACAAAGTACTCAAGTAGAGAAGCACTGATCAGGCCCTAAAGAAGGAAAGCTGTCACTATCCACGGGAGGGGTCCAGTATGGGTGAACTCAAAGGTGGGCCAAGACCATAACATAAGCATCTGCCTACAGCAGCCCACAACCCAATTCCTTGCTCTTATCAAGTTACCACGTCCTGCTGACTCCATCTTTCAAAAAAGACTCTCTGATACTCCTATCTTCAAATACAATCTACTCATCTTTCAATATTTTAACCCTTTCCTACTAATCATGTCCTGTGTCCACTCCCAATCCCAGGATATTTCCTGTCTGTAGGATAGATGAGTTCTCACGAGGTCACTGGTTGTCACTGATCTGCTCTAGCTGTCCACCCTTATTGGCCACCAAGTCTTTGAATACTTTCCCTTTCAAAAAATAGCCTCCTCTCTTCCTGTAACACATAAAGATTCTCCCCAGCTCTCAGCCTGTCCCACACAGAATGCCCGAGCCCTCTGAGACCCACGCTAGAAATTATCAATACTTAAGAAATATTTTCCTTAGCTGTGGCTTGTACCCTTCTCCTCCTCCTCTGAATTACTCCAGTCTTGATGGCAAACAATGCCATTTTAAGGGTTTATTTAAAGCAATAGGCTCAGAATCCCCAAGCAAACCCTTAAGTATCCAAAGGGCCAAGACTGAGATCAATGTTTCTTTCTTAAATTCCTCCAACGCTCACTCTTGTGTCCACTAATCAAAGACCACCAGGAACACACCTGTAGTAAATGAACTGAGCTTTCCTTCACTTGCTACAGCAAGAAAGAGTACAGCAAAGTAATTGGAAAATTTTAAGTAACTGGTGGATACTTAGTATACAACTTGTGTTTGTTTTGGGTGATTCCAAGAAAGTTTTAAGAAAATGGAGGCCAGATGTGGATTAGGAGCTGTTGGGCGGTGGGGACAATTCATTGATTATCTTGGCAAATCTAATCTAGAAGGCAGAGGATTAAAACTGAGTTGGAGGCATCATTGGTAAAGAGCAATCACTCACATCAGTCATAAGAGAGGGAGGTTTAATTACTTCTGTGGTTGGAGAGGGTCCTTGTCTCAGTCTTGTTTCAGACATACTCAAGAAGTAGGCTTGTCTGATTATTTATATTCTGCAAGAGGTATTTATGTTCAGTTGGGAACATTGTGGTCTGTCAGCTGCCAGGACCATTTTTCACTTTCTCAAAAGTTATTCAAAAGATACCAGAATAACTTAAATAACTGTTGAATAAATTTCAGATTTATCCTAAATCTAATGATAATGTAAACTTTGACTCACAATTTATCACTTCAGCTTTCTGGCAGGCACTGCGCATATGGAACAGAATAAGACATATTGGTCTTTGACACAGGTCCATGGGCTCAAAGTCCAAACAAAAGTCAAATGTCTAGGCTGATGCAATACAAGCATGAAAAGTGCCCAAATATAAGTATGAAAAAGGTGCTGAGCTGGTGCAATAAACAGGGTGTTCAACTCCACCTGGAGGCGTGGGTGAAGCTTTCCAAGAAGACATGCCACCTGAGATGGATGTGTGAGGATGAGTAGGAGTTGGCCAGTTGGAAAAAGGAGGGTGGAGGATGCCCTTCCAAAGCAGACACAACCTAGGTAAAGGTGTAAAGCAGCATAATGAGTTGAGGAACAAAATATAAATCAATGTTGCTAGAGAAACTATTCAAAGCACTCAAAAATATTTCCAGGATATTTTTGAATATAAGGTGCTATATTGGCACCTCTGAAATTACACAGCACAGAAGGTGAATTTTGTTCTCAGTTAATTAAACTGAGTGTTAAAGAGAAAGTAAATCATACCAAAAACTAAATACTTTTACATATGGATCCCCCTCAAGAAATGGAGATGAAGTGGAAATGGAATATGAACCAATTCAAAATAACATATTGAAGTTTATATGTACCTCTCTTGAATATAATGAATTAGAAAAAAATTCAGAAACTTTAACCTAAAATTGGAAATCAAATCCCAACACATGGAAATAAAACCAACAACTTATTCTATCATCTTTCTGTTACACCAAGAAAGCTCAGAAATTCAATGACTATTATATAATAGAGTAATTCTCTTATCAGGGCAAACATACACATACACATACACACTAGCTAATTTATTTTGGAAATCCAATGGCCTTAATGTTAATACTTTTCTATAGTTCTTCAAAAATTAACACATTAGTAGTATTTAAGGTAACTTCATTTCTTTCTAGTTTGAAATAGAAATGATTCATCATAAACAAGCATTGATGGCAAGAAAGGAACAGACTGGGCAACACAATTAAACAGTAGAAAAAAAATCTAAAAGTCTAATTTCACTAGAAAAAAAAGATGAACAAGTGCTACAATCTGAATGTTTATATCCCCACAAAGTTCCTATGTTGAAACTCACCCCAATGCCAACAGTATTAAGAGGTGGGGACTTTGGAAGGTGATTGGTCATATGTAATCCACCCTCCTAAATAGCACTAGTACCCTTATCAAAGTGATGTGAGGGAGGTTTTTTTGTCCCTTCGGCCATGTGAAGACATAGAAGGTGCCAACTATGAGGAGCAGGCCCTCTCCAAATGCCAAATCTGCTAACACCTTGATCTTGGACTTCCCAGTCTCCATAACTGGAAACAGTAAATTTCTACTGTTTACAAATTACCAGGGCTAAGGTATTTTGGTATAGCAGCCAAAATGAGATAAGACAACAATCACTAATATAGGGAAAAAATATGAATAAACCAACAAAAGGAAACGGCAAACAATTCACAGCGTGATATAAATAAGTGTTCCACAAACAAATTTAAAAACACTCAGCTTTTCTATTAAGAAAGTACATATGACAACATGATTTTTTTTTTCACTATTTAGATAGGCCTAGGACAGGAAAGCACAGTATTGGCAAAGAGTAGTTGTTTCTCTTTCCAAAATCCAGCCCTTGCCTAGGAAAAGTTCAACAGCCATTTGAGAAGACAAGGTGAGAATCCTAAATAAATAAATAAATAAATAAATATTAAAGTTACTGATATCCTGGGGCCTAAAAATTCTACTTGTAAGAATTTATGCAACATAAAAAAGGTGTAAAAGTAGGCAAATAAATTTGAAATTCACTGTAGACAAAAGAGAAAACAAAAGAGAAGACCCAATGTCATCAAAACAAATCTGTTGAAATGTATATTATAACCATATCTCACATATACATACAATGGTATTTCAAGCAGCTACAAAAATAATGGTATTATTTTTTACATGCTTATATAGACGAAGTCCTCTGGTGGTTTTTTTTTGTTTTTTTTTTTTGGTTTTTTTTGTTTTTTTTTAAGAAGAAAAAGTCAGTGGTAGAAATGTGTGTGTAGAATAAGCCCATTTCAATAAATTAGTTAATACATAACTATTTGCATAGATCACAGAGCCAAAAACATGCATATGCTGTGTTCTCATTTTATTTTTATTTCAGGCAGAATTTATTTTGCTTTAAGAGTAATTTCTGGCAACAAGATATAAAGGGAATGTAACTCCTCATTCCTGAAATCTCTCCAATATCTTTTGATAAAAATGTTAGTACCAAGGTTGAATAAAAATGTAACAATAAACCACAAGCCATACTTTAATGGCATATAAAGGTCTTTGGAAGAAATGAAGATGTCATTATCTTTTTTTTTTTTTAAGCTAGAAATGCCACATGGTGCCTTCAATATCGTTTGCAACTGCAAAGTACCTTCATAAAAATAATTTAATTGCTCCTGACAGGCCTCATAGTTGTCCCTGAATTCCATTCAGCCATGCCATGACTGACATTACAAAGGAAAACGAGTAAAAGGTCACACACGTGGTTTGGGAAACCATCAAAATGTGGTGCTCATCTCTTGGCTGACAGAAATTTACAGTACCATTGTGTTTTCAAAAGCAATCGGAAACCTTAGGAATTGTCACAGTTATCACAACTGCACATTCCAGCAAAGAAGAATGGAAGACACAAGTAACATGAACCAGGAGGGCAGGTCTGTCCCCTAGCACTGAAGCAGGCACAAAGGCATAACATGAAACACTCATGGAGAATAAACAAAACAGTTGAAGTTGCACAATTAAACCAAAAAATTCAACACTGATTGCAAACCACCTTTTAAAATGTGTAGACCTATGACCCTACTCTGTTTTATCCCTTTTACCAAAATTCTGTCAGTTCACCTATTTTGTTACAAATGTATTTTCTTCCTTCTGTAGTCACACTAAACTATATTCTGAAATGAATGCTACAAAAAGGAGGCCAGGTAACTGATGTACCAGGCTGCATGAAATGTGCTAATGGGAATCCAGTGTTGTGAAGACACTATGGATTCTAATGGGAATCCAGTGCTATGAAGACACTATGGATTCTAATGGGAATCCAATGCTACGCTATCCTGATATTAAGCCCACTCCTCTAGTTCAGCATTTCTCAACTTGAGCTACTGACATTTTGTGCCAAATAATTTTGTGTTGAGGGGGCTGTCTTCTGCAGGATAGGATGTTTAGCAGCATCCCTATACTCTACCCTCTAGATACCAGTAGCACTCTCTCCCAGTGTAACAATGAAAAATGTCTCCAGATATGGCCACATGATTCCTGTGGAATAAAATCATCTCAGTTGAAGAACCACCATTCCAGAAGAAAGCTTATAAATCCCAGTAAAATCCTTAATGGATCTCGAAAAAGGATAAAGGAAAGAAAGATACCATGAAGAACAAGATTAATAAAAATAAATCTAGGTTGAACATTTTTAAAAGACAAGAAATCCAGCAAGCTTCTGAAAGTCAGGTAAGGAGTTATCCAAAATTGCCTTTCATTTTGAAGAGGATACTTAAAAACCAAAAGCAGTTTGACTTTTCTTAAGTAAATGTGTTGGTAAATCTTTACTTTTTTGTGTGACCAAACACCCACCATTAACACTTACATGCTTGCTTCTTACAGAGTGAACGAGATTACTGTGTCTTGAATTTTGAAACCAAGGTTTATATGCAAACTGCATCACTTACAATTCAGTGGCCTTCAACAAATTATATCATCTTTGGCATTAGTTATTAATATATATAATGCAGACAATAACTCCTCCATGTGGGTTATTGTATGGATTAAAAGAGATTACAACAGGCATCCATTATAATGTCTATTACAAAACAGGTAAATAATCAGTATTTTCTCCTTTCCTCCTCCTACAGCTTAACAGGCAAGAAAAGAACTGCAGATAGAAGGGATCCTGGGATGTCACCACGGGCACAGGGACATAAAAGCATCTGTTCTGGAAACAGGAAGATTGAGGAAGAAGGAGCCCAAGAAAGCAGACAGCAGCAGTCACAGAGTCAGGCAAGCTAAGAAAAATCAAGACTCGGTCCAGTCGTCACCTGGTGTTGAATAACTGGGTGTGTTTTACTGTTTAGCCATTTTTCTTACTTTCTTTTTTAAAAATTTTATAAAACTTTTGTTTCTTAAGAGACTTCAGGCCAGGCGCGGTGGCTCAAGCCTGTAATCCCAGCACTTTGGGAGGCCGAGGCGGGTGGATTACGAGGTCAAGAGATCGAGACCATCCTGGTCAACATGGTGAAACCCCATCTCTACTAAAAATACAAAAAACATTAGCTGGGCATGGTGGCACATGCCTGTAATCCCAGCTACTCAGGAGGCTGAGGCAGGAGAATTGCCTGAACCCAGGAAGCGGAGGCTGCTGTGAGCCAAGATCGCGCCATTGCACTCCAGCCTGGGCAGCAAGAGTGAAACTCCATCTCAAAAAAAGAAAAAAAAAGAGAGAGAGACTTCATGGTGCTTTACACATTAAGGAGTTATTCTTGATCACATAAGATTATCTTTGCATACAGTATATTTTAAAATGCTAATAAAAATGTCGTGTCCAGTATCTATGATTAGTTTTTTAAATATAGACTTTATTTTTCAGGGCAGCTTCTGGCTCACAGCAAAATCAAGTGGAAAGTACAGAAAATCCCCATATGCTGCTTCCTATACACAGGCACAGCCTCCCCAACTGTCAACATCACGTCAACTTCAAAACCTGTTCTATGGGCCTTGACAAATGTATAATGACATATATCTACCATTATACATCACACAGAATAATTTCACTGTCCTAAGAATCCTCTGTGCTCTGCCTATTTATGCCACCAAGAAAGGATGAGAGTTCTGACTGCTCCACATCTTCATCAGCATTCGGTGTTCTCAGTGTTTTACATTTCAACCATTCTCACAGGTAGATAGTGATAACTTACTGTTCTAATTAGCAACTCTCTAATAATACAAGATGTTGAGGGTCTTTTCACATGCTTATTTACCATCTGTATATCTTCTTTGGTGAGGTGTCTGTTAAGATCTTTGACCTACTTTAAAAATCAGGTTGTTTTCTTATTGTTAGGTTTTAAAAGTTGTTTGTATATTTTGAGTAACAGTTCTTCATCAGATGTGTCTTTTACAAATATTTTCTCCCAGTCTCTGGCTTGTCTTCTCTTTCTGTTGATGTTTTCACATTTTTACTTACTTTCTCACCTCTCTATTCCACTGAAAATGTGTTTTCTAAGCTAAGGGAAAATATCTCTTCAAAAAAAAAGCTACCAGATATATTTGCTTATTTAGGCTTGAGAAGATAACTGAAAAGCTGAGACCATTTTCCTCTCTGGCCCTGGTACAGAAAAGAGAGAAAAAGGATTGGAAAGAACAGCTAGTTTTCAGCAGTTACAAGGTAAGCAAACAAGCCAATGCCTGGGGCCTTCATAAGAGAAGAAAGGGGAACTAGCTGGAGATCAAGAAATTAACTCAGGCTCAGGTCCTCAGTCTTGCTAATAGGTTGCTGAACATGAGCTGTCTCACCTGTAAAATGGTGTGTGAACTGTGTGTGAGAACACAGGTGTTCAAAAAGGATCTCAAATGTGCATGTTTGGCACTATCTACAAATATAGTTATTCATGTACAATGAGATACACTGAAAAACTGAATATTTAAAAATATACGGTCTTTTTATAAACTTTGTATTGTTTAATTATACTGGGATCTTCAAGAACTGAAATGGTTCAGGTCTCTGTTCTCTGAGTGGTCCTATTTACACCATGCTCTCTCTAGCCACAGCAACTATTAGTACATTGCATACAACTTATTCAACTCTTTGGGTGAATTTCTACTCTTGGCCCTCAATTAACATTCACCAAGTGATTATATTAATAATATATAAAAAAGCATTAAGTACAAAATATTCTAGCTAGTCACAGAGGCCCACGCCTGGAATTCCAACACTTTGGGAGGCTGAAGCAGGAGGGTCGCTTGAGCCCAGGTGTTTGAGACCAGCCTGGGTAATGAAGCCAGGCCCCATCTCCACAAAAATTTAAACATTAGCCAGGTGTAGTGGCTTGCACCCATAGTTCCAGCTACTTGGGAGGCTGAGGCGAAAGGATCTCTTGAGCCATGGAGGCCAAGGCTGCAGTGAGCTATGATCATGCGACTGCACTCTAGCCTGGGCAAAAGAGCAAGTCCCTGTCTCAAAAACAAGAACAACAACAAACAAATTTTTCTATCCAGAAGAAATACAAGGGTCTTCAGGTATGTCACAAACAGTACTTTCAAAGATTTAAGCCACACATACACAAAACACATTTACACAGAAAACCAACACAACAAGCAGTTTATAACATATTCTGGGCTTCTTTTCCTTCCAAATTCATTTTTTTCTAAATTGTTTAACTTAATGACATATCAAAAAGTCTCTGCCTAAGGAAATAACACACGGCATGAAACATCAAGCTAAAATTCAGAGGCAAGCACTTTTCAAAAATGTGCACACCTTTGAGTGGTTTCATCTTTTTAAACTATAAAATCTAATTTCCCCTGAAAAAAGACGTGATATCTATAAGACATGCTAACCTTAGCCTACCTTCAAATCTCTGTAATCTCCAACAACTGAGACATATGAAACTGGACTGAGTATAATCAGCTAATCTTGGCAATGGTCTCTGAAGAGATATTATTATACCTTACAGAACTTCCTGGAATAGGGAAAAGTACCATCAAAGGCATTTTCTCACCCAGGTATGGGTGTGAAAGTGCATTTGAATACACTGACTTGGAGTTCTGAAAACAAATAGACCTAAATTTAGATTTGAGGTCTGCTAACTTACCAACTGTAAAGCCATGGGCAAGTTAATTAACCTTCACCAACTTTAGTTTCTTCATCTGTAAAATGAGAATACTTCCACCTCACTCATAGAGTTGCTCTGATAATTTGAAAAGATTTAAGATTATGTACATAAAATATTTAGCATAGTGCCTTACCACAGTAGGTTTCAACAAATGGTTGGACCCACTATTACTATTGCTAATCATGTAATTAAATGCTAATTAAAATAACCACAACCAAAACAACTATAATCTGGGGGCCTACCAGGAGGCTGTGTCTCATTAAGTCTCATTTAATAGCCTACTGAGAATGGCACCAGAATTTCACTTATTCAGATGTCCTGAGAATGACAATGATCAGGTCATTGTCCCTAAATTTCCTTCCACTTCCTTTGTTAGTGGAGGGAGTCATCATTAGGATTATTCAGAACCACTAAAGAAGGTTTAGTCACAATCATGCCCCACATTTTTCTACATAAGGGGTCTATGGGAAAGATCAGTAGTAGATAATTTCCACAACAGTGACTGTCACTCATGTGGGAAGGCAATAATTCTACATCTTTTTCCTGCATGACATTTCTACATCTTTTTCCTGCATGACATACTTTCCCATCTGTATGAGTAGTTCCACTGTTTCCATGATGGAGCTGGAGGCTCAATAGACAAATGCTTACTGAGTGCCAACTATGTACTGGTTACAGTGTTAGTAATGCAGTGATTCGCAAAATCCACTTGCTCCTTACCCTTTGGAAAGTGACCACCTAGCACCGTGTTCCACAACCTATCATCATCATCCATTTTAAATCATGACCTACTAATATATTTGTGCATAGGTGTATATTTGCACATACACATAAACAGAGACACATATGACTGAATGTTTTACTAACCAATACCCTTACTGAAATAATCCAGGTACAGAAAGATAAATACTGCATGTTCTCACTCACATGGAAGATAAAAAAGTTTATCTCATAGAAGTATAGAACAGAACAATGATTATTAGAGGCTGGGAAAGGTGTGGTGTGGGAGGATGTTATAGGGAAAGCTTGATTAACAGATACAAAAGTAATATAGCTAGATTGGAATAATAAATCCTAGTGTTCTATGGCACTGTAGGGTGACTACAGTTAACTATAATTTACTGTATATTTTCAAATAGCTGAAAGAGAGGATTTTTAATGTTCCCAACACAAATAATAATAAATGTTGGAGGTGAGGAATATGCTAAATACCCTGCCTGTGGTATAAGAGTTAAGAGGAAATTATTTAGGAAGATAGTGAGGGTAAAGAAGTCCTCAGTAAGGTTTTCCTTTTAATGAAAAGTAGCCCCCAAATAATTTTTTTTCTAACAAAGAGCAGCCAGTAAAATTGAGCTGCAGACATAGACAAGCAAGCTGGAAGCTTGCATGGGTGAATGCTGGCATCTGTGCCAATAGGAAAAGACTAGCTGGGGGCTAGGCAAGTCCAACATAGCAGCTCTATCTTCCCCTTTCTCTGTCAACCAAAGGCACAGAAAGGAGCAGACAACATGGCACAGGCCAAGTAGAGACCCTATTCGCATAATAAAAGATTAGGGTTGGGTGGCCAGCTTCTTCAAGTGCTGTGCAACACATCAGATCCAGCCAATCTTTGGGTCTTATGTAAATCAGACACTGTCTCCTCAAACCTGTCTAAAATCCTGTGCACTCTACTGCAGGCTGGAAATCCCACTCGGGCACCCCTCTCTCTCTCTCGGAAAGGGAGCTGTTCTCCTTTCTCTTTCTTTTGCCTATTTAACCCCTGCTCTTAATCTCATTCCATGTGTGTCCGTGTCCTTGATCTCCTTGGCATGAGGCAACAAACCTCAGGTATTCACCCCAGACAATGGCACTGCTTCACTTGGAGCATTGCATCTGGTATACATGTACTGAAATATCATGCTGTACTGTATAAAGATGTAAAGTATTATATCAATTAAATATTGGCCAGGAGTGGTGATTCACATTTGTAATCCAAGCACTTTGGCAGGCCATAGAGGGTGGATCACTTGAGGTCAAGAGTTCAAGACCAGCCTGGCCAACATGGTGAAACCCTGTCTCTACTAAAAATACAAATAATAATAATAATAATTAGCTGGGCCTAATAATTAGGCAGGAGAATGGCATGCACCCAGGAGGCGGAGGCTGCAGTGAGGTGAAATTTTACCACTTCGCTCCAGCCTGGGTGATAGAGTAAGACTCTGTCTCAAAAAAATATAAAATAAAAATAATTTAATAACAAAAAATACCCTTATGCTCTATTTTTTTTTATCTAGTTGGGTTATTTCACTGCTGGTTTCAACCCACTAACACAACATCAGACACACTAATAGGTTGCAACCCACCCTTATAAACACTTTGGTCCAGCATGCCATGCCCTGCCATGCCTTTCCCCTGCCCTTAGCCCTTTAAGCAAACCTACATTAAAGCCCTCAACTAACTAGTTCACCATGAACACCCAATAAAAGTGTAAGCATACTCAACAAAACATTTTCTTCTGGAAAAAAACAAAGAGAATTGTTCACTATTTTTCTCATGCTAACATTTCTACTAGATATCTACTTGTTCTGATGGAATATAACCAAAAATAATAAAACCTCATGGAATTCTGAAGATTCTTTTGTTGATTCTGGGAGGAAAAGAATGGCTAAACTTGGTGCCAAAACATCAAGCAACCCAGTCAATGCCACTCATTCCTGCTAGTCCTGGGGTTTCCTAAATCATCATGTAAGGACTACTTGCAGGGATTAGTTCCTATCACTTGGTTTAACTGTGCAACAAAGCTTCATTAATGCTGACCTCAGTTCTTTGGAATTTGGCTTAAAAACTTTAAATGAGTTTTTACCCACTGTATTAATCTGTTTTCATACTGCCATGAAGAAATACCTGAGACTATGTAATTTATAGAGGAAAGAGGTTTAGTTGACCCACAGTTCTACATGGCTGGGGAGGCCTCAGGAAACTTACAATCATGGTGGAAGGGAAAGCAGGTACATCTTACACGGGGGAAGGGGAGAGAGAGTGTACCCATCAGATCTTGTGAGAACTCACTATCATTAGAACAGTGTGGAAGGGAGCCATACCCATGATCCAATCACCTCCCACCAGGTCTCTCCCTCAACACATCAGGATTACGGGGATTACAATTCGAGATGAGATTTGGGGGGAGGCCCAGAGGCAAACCATATCACCCACATTTACCTTCGCAAGTCTAAGAAGAGACTGATGAGCAGATTAAGAGCAAAAGAAGACTGTGAGACAAATGTTTACCTTGTTTAAGAAAACAAACTTATTTAGCATCATGAAGCTTACAGCACAATATACCAGTGTGATAAATTCTCATTACAAATCATTTTTATCTGTTTCTTAAGGCAGGTCTGGCAGGACTTCTATTTGGCAAAACAATCAAATTTGTTAAGAATGCAATTTGTATTTTAATGAAGCTGCATTTATTTTAAAATAGGCTATGATTCAGAATAGCATATTCAAAATTTTAATGACTGCTTGAAGTTATTCTGTTGGTAAGGCTGTATGGTATTAAACATCTTAATCCTTAAATACTGGTTTCACAGGCACAAACCTCAAATATTTCCATGTAAAGAAGACTGCTCTAGTATTCCCACTCTAAAGTTGGAAGCAGTTAGATTTTCATCCACTCAAAATAAACTTATGTTATACAAAAGAAATGCCAAGTATTGCTTTGTTTTTCTTAATCGTGACCCTCTTTAAGACAATTCTAGAGTCACCAACTTAAATGTCCATTATACTGAACCTTAAATTCTTAGTTCTCTCCAGCTCTAATGAGGATTCAACCTGCCAATAATTTCAAATACTCTAGAGATTTAAAAAAAAAAAATCTAGGTCAAGGGGATGAAAAATTACCAATTGGGTACAATGTTTGCTATCTGTGTAACAGTAACACCAAAAGCCCAGTCTCCACCGGTATGCAACAAACCCATGTAAAAAAAAAACCATGCACATATTTCAATCTAAAATAAAAAATTTTTATATCACAAAACATGCACTTCCCTAAAATGCCCTGTGCACATGAAAATATTTCTACCACTTTTTCCCCTCACTATATTCTATCTAGAATATGGTCACGGAAGAATGAAAGGGGAGTGAAAGGAAATAAAGAAAAGCGAGATGATAAGAAAGGAAGGTGG